TGTGTGTGTGTGTGTGTGTGTGTGTGTGTGTGTGTGTGTGTGTGTGTGTGATGAGTCACAGTCTTGTGATTTTTGCTGAACTTTTGCTCTAATTTGACATTTTAAAATGAAAACAAACAAAAAAGAGCAGCTTTCATTAACTCCTGCAGCAACAAAGCAGCATGTAGGACTATTTAGGACCCTGTAAGACCCTGTAGTACTTTGTAGTACTCTGTAGTACTCTACAGACCTCTGTAGTACTCTGTTGGACCCTGTAGGACCCTGCAGGACCCTGTAGGACCCTGTAGTACTTTGTAGTACTCTATAGACCTCTGTAGTACTCTGTTGGACCCTGTAGGACTGCAGGACCCTGTAGGACTGTAGGACTGTAGGACCCTGCAGGACTGTAGGACCCTGTAGGACTGTAGTCTGAGGTTTACTTTTTACTCTGTGGTTCTGCCTGACAACCTGCCCCTCATGGTAACCAGTGACTCAGCAGATTCTTCTAGATTACCCAGCATGCTTTGCTTCCATCATGGCCGCCCCCACATCAGAGGCTCAACAGGAAACAAGAAGAGGAAGAGTTTCAAAACAAAACTCAGTGAATCTCTTCAGAATAAGAGTCTGACTCACAGGAAGTTGGACCAGAACTGGTTTTACTCAATTCTTCAGTCTTTTCTGCCTGTGGTTCTGAAGGTTCTGCAGGTTCTGAAGGTTCTGAAGGTTCTGCAGACTCCAGCTTCAAAGAAAAACTGAAGCAGTTCTACAAGAACCAGATGTGAGTCGTGCAGGTCTGAACCTGTAGACCCAACTGTTTACACCACAGTACCTGACCCACCAGAACCAGACCTGCACTACAGAACCAGACTATCAGAACCAGACCTGCACTACAGAACCAGACTATCAGAACCAGACCTGTTCTACAGAACCTGACCCTTCAGAACAAGACTATCAGAACCAGACTATCAGAACCAGACCTGCACTACAGAACCAAACTATCAGAACCAGACCATCAGAACCAGACCTGTTCTACAGAACCTGACCCGTCAGAACCAGACCATCAGAACCAGACCTGTTCTACAGAACCTGACCCGTCAGAACCAGACCACCAGAACCAGACCTTCACTACAGAACCAGACTGTCAGAACCGCACCTGCTCTACAGAACCAGACCACCAGGACCAGACCATCAGAACCAGACC